TTCACGCGTGTACGGTATAAAAGGGATGTATATATATGTGTAAAACCTTCACTCGTGGTCTGCATTTGGTAGAATAAATTTGTTAAAATGTCAGAATTTTACACAGCCTTTTCAAAGTTTCAGACATATTCAGTTGATTTCTTCATGACTCCGCCGAAATTCGAGAAAGTCCTCATTCTAGCAGACGTTTCTTGCAATAACCTAGAGCAATGCTTGTTTTTGAAATGTAATAAATTTGTCAAATACAACGATCTAAACCTATAATGTTTGTTGTTGTTGTTTATAGAAAATAATTGATTTACTCACGATTTAGCGAGTATAACTACTTAGTAAACAGATGTCCTATTCCTCTAAATCCGTAAAATACGTATACCTCGATAATGTAAAGAATGCATGGTATTTATATCTATGTTTTTATGTACAGATGAGACTAAAATAAAGAGATAACCTTAAATCATGACTGGGACATTCCCAGATTTTTGTAAGTATCAAATAGTGAAACTACGATTATTAAGGCTTTTCGGAGTTGTGTATCAGAGGTCGCATAAAAAGGAGAATGAAAAAATTAAACTCTGATAAAGAAACCAATTTCTTAATTTAAATATGTCAAATTTGAGAATGAAATGTGGAATTGCATCAGAAATGTTCCTACCCAAATATAAATTCATATTAATTCATCTGACAAGCATCGCCCTTTAAGCAATGAAAGGCAACATTATAGATCATTAACCCAAGGATTCGACTATATGACACAATTGTCAGAAGTTGTTGGACATAGTAACACAGTTAGGCATTCAATTTTGTGCAAACATCTCTTCCGATAAAAAGAGACTCTTTTCATTTTTTTTATGTCTTTCTTTCTTTTTAAACAAAGGTTAAACTTATGTTTTACCTAATAGTTTCTGAAAGCAACATATACCAAAACAATTGTGGAGCGTGTTAATACATATATCTGATTTTCAGTCATTTCTAACAAAACGAGTAATTAACAAAAATATTCATTTTTCATTTAAAGATTGCGGCGTTTGTTTTCAAATTGTACGATACGATGATATCATTTGCAGCCCTGACAATGTTTTTTTTTGATTTTCAGTTTACTGGATTGTATCCTTTCTCAGACTTGACTGTGATGCAAAACAAAAACTCTTTTTATTCACATAAATATATTTAAATAATTTTTCAAAATCTTGAGAACTGTAGATGGGTAGTGAAATAACACACATTTTATCCGGTTCCTCGTAAACCATATAAATGCACGTCCCACTAGACCTATTTTCCACTTCACAAAGTTGATAAAACATTGATCATATTGGTATATGTAAGGTTTACTTAAATTACGAATTTCAACACTTTACGGGATTAACTATGTCATGGTACTTACACGGAAATAAACAAGCGGTCATGTGTCAATCTGTTGTATTGTAAACTTTTAAACAGCTGTTTCGCCTCGGTCAATATATGTCATCTGCCGGTGAATACCACATCATATTCAAAGGCACACAGGTCAATAATTGTATAATATTACAAAATTTGTATTGTCCACTTCCTTTGAACTAGTAGATTGGCAAACTGTGTCAAACGGGAAACGGACAAAAGCCCTCCCGTCCATAAATGCCAAGGCGGACAAAAGCGCTCTGATAGGGCGGACAAAAACCCTCTCTTGGAAATGACTGGGCGTGATATGATATTCTTAGTTTAATAATATTTTATTGCATATTTTGTACATGATTAATTTACACAATCTAACATCATTATCATAAGCATAAATATAATGTACATACAAAAGGGTTGGACCAAATGTTATACCAACATTATATAGGGTCCTCCCCTGAAGGTCTATCTTGTTGGCTTAATGGTAACATAGTAAGTAAATGTGGTTTTTAGAAATTCTGAGATTTTATTTACATGATAAGCGATATTAATTTCATGTATTTTAACTGGTAAAAAAGAATCGCTTAACCTAAAAAACAAAGAAAATTACAAAATGACTTAATGAGGTAAAATGGGGAAAAAATATATATGCCATTAACAAATTTGCCACTATAATAAACGCACCAAAACTTGATTTGCAGCAGTATTTTAATAAACTTAATATGAAAATAAATATAGTATATGTGTAAACAAAATTAGGTAAATCTACTACTTTTGATGAAATTGTGCACTTCTTGAAATAGTCTTATGTTTTCGGCTTCTGCAAGTCCATCAATACCGTGGAATAATTTCTTACTACTGAGAGGATGAAATGACCTGGTATTCAAAAATAAGTATACGTCTTTGCATAGTATATAATTTACATCAGAAAAATAGTGCACCGCATTTTCGATGTCTGCGCCGCATTGGCATAATGGACTTGAAACTAAATGGTTAATAAAAAGACCGTTATTTAAGTTGCTACACTTGTTTCTAATTCGGGTTTGGTGGATATATAAGAAACGATCACCGTATAAGAAAAAAGATGGAACTACTGGAGGTTTATATAACTGTTTAATCTTGTTTTTGAATGAAGCTAGCGACTGTGATTCGCGAAAGTTTGTCGGAAGATTATTCCATAATTGAATAGCTAACGGAATAACTGATTTTGAGTAAATTTCGGTACGTCTGGCTAAAGTAATATAGTCACTATTATTTCTTAACGAATAATGGTTTTCTAACGCCATCTCGACAGATGGTGGAAAAAGTTGCATAAGATATTGTGGTAATAAATTATATTTTCCTTTATACATTAAAACTAGTTTTTGAATTTGTCGTCTGTCTGAAAGTGAAACCCATCCTATCTCTTTAAGTAAATATTGTATTGATACGGATCTAGTTAAACCAGTTACCACGCGAGCTGCTTCGTACTGAATTTTTTCTAACGTTTCTTTTTCAAACTGTGTACAATTATCCCATACTAAAGATGCATATTCTAAATGTGGACGTAAATAAGATATGTAAATGTTATTTAGAGTATTTCTTTTTACCTTAAATTTTAGCATTTTCATTGAACCAAGAATTCTTGCAGCTTTGGATACTATAATAGATATATGTTCATGCCATGACCCATCTTGACTGAATGTTACCCCTAAATGCTTATGGTGGTCTACATACTTAAGCTGTACATCATTGAAAAAAAAGATTCGGTTTATTTCGATTACAAAATGAAAAGAACATGACCTCAGTTTTTGCTGGATTGAAATTAACAAGCCATAGTTTAGACCATGATGTAATTGTGATAAGGTCTTTATTAAGAATTTCTTCCATATACGAGACATCTTTAGATGAGACTGCCAACGAACTGTCGTCGGCAAAAAGTCTAGTTACACTTAGAAGGGATTCGGCAATGTCATTAACATAGATTAAAAATAAAAGAGGACCAAGGACGGATCCCTGGGGGACTCCTCCAAGTAATGTTGTAGTATTAGAGAAAGAGGAAGACACAAAAACTTTCTGAGACCTATTATAAAGATAGTTGTTTAACCATGAGATCAATTTTCCTAGAATTCCATACTGTTTTAATTTGAAGATAAAACCTTTATGCCAAACTCGATCAAACGCTTTTGACATATCGCAAAATATAATACATGATGATTCTTTGTTGTCAAAAGCTTTACAAATTTGATTATAAATATCAATAAGCTGGTAAACAGTTGAGTAACCTGGCAAAAAAACAGATTTATTTTGAAATAGTAATGAGTTAATATGAAAAAAAGTTATACATATGTTTAAAGGGATATTCAGGCAAAATAATGACAAAAGTATTAAAATGATCTTATGTACTCAAATCACACTAAAATGATTTTTCTTGAAGTTTCAGCATGAATTTCTGTTTAAATTCTATATATTTTGGGTTTGAAGCGTAAATATATCTATATATGTTGAACAAAATTTAGACGCCAATAGAATCACCAAATAGTTTTAAAACAAGTCAGATTACTTGAACAAACCCTTGAAGTTACAATAATAGATATTGTGGATATTGTATGGTTGGAATAAGTCTAAGTCATTCATTTGACATGTTCTTTAACGTTTCCAGAGTTCACTTTGACAACTATTGTGAAATCCTAGCGCTCTAACCTGACCCACGCGGGTCAAGTTAGGAAACCACCATTTTATTCTTTATATGGAGAAAAGTTTTGTTTCTTTAACTGTCTAATATATTTTGAGGGCATTTACAGAATAATGAATGAAAAATTCAAAACTAAGAAATCAAAATTTTGCCTAAGTCTCCCTTTAAATATAATACGTTCCATCACTTTTCCAACACAGCTTATCAAAGAAATCGGTCTATAGTTTGATGGTTCGCCCTTATTCCCTTTTTTAAAAAGTGGCATTACATGAGCTGGTTTCCTTTTATCGGGATATATTCCTTCATTTAATGAGAGATTAAAAAGTAAACAAAGTGGAACACACAAAGATTCTGATGTTTCCTTTAACATTTTATGGCTAATTTCATCTGGACCGGAAGCTTTATTGGTGACAAGATTCAATAAGGTATCCTTAATCTCTTGTTCATTATTATAAAATCTTCAAAACGTGAATTAGTTTTAAAAGTAAATAGTGGAAGTTTTATATTTGTATCATCAACACATGATGTTGAACTAAAAAACTCATTTAAAGTATTTGCCTTATCTATATCAGATAAGGAGAAAGTGTTGTTACAATTTTTAAGAGGAGGTATGATTTCATTTTCATTTGTATTATCTTTTACTAGCATTTTAACTATTTTCCAGTATTCACGATGATAAGAACTGCTCATATCGTGCAATGAAAATTCTAAATTATTATAAAATATCTCTTTAGCATTTTTTTTTCATATTATTTACTTGATTTCGAGACTGCTTATATTTTATCCAATCAGAAGCTTTTATTACTATTTAATGCTTTATGAAAGAGCCTATCTCTTTGTCTTAAACTTTTTCGTAAACTACTGTTAAACCAAGGTTTATCATTCGGCCTTATTTAAGTGCATAATGCATAATATGATGGAATGCATTGTTTCGCTAGATATATGCTATGATTTTCACCGGCAGATGACATACATATTGACCCATGCGAAACAGTTGTTTAAAAGTTTACAATATTTATATGATACATGTTTGTCGAAAGCAAGCGTGAATTGTTTTTATGGAAAAAGGAAATTTTCAAAATGTTACTGGATAATAATCGGGCGAAAAATAGGTACTATTACATAACTTTCCTGAAATTATAATTGTTTCACTTTAGATATCTTAAATAAAACGCTTGCTGTCATAAGATATATTGGTATTTCACGACAATGAAGATCTGACAACCTTTCCTTTAACCTTTACTCTGTCTAGAAGAAGAGCATTCCCGCAATATTTATTGTAAAAAAATATGAATTTACTGAAGGATATCTCAAAATATCGGATTTTGGTGGCCATCTTGGTGGCCATTTTTAATATTGGCGGCCATTTTGATTTTTAAGCTGGGGTCTTGATCTAAAACAGCTAGACAGACATCAAACTAGTATAATCCAAAGTGGTTTGCTTGTAGAATTAAAAGAACGATTAAATGTACTGACACAGTATTGTTTGTTTACAAGACGGGTATACTCGATTTACGGTTTCGGATATAATTATATCTGATTATTGATTAATTTTTTGTGGAAGGGTGGAATTAGACAATAATGTTGGTTTGAAGTTTTAAAACAAAATCATTTTCATGTTTTTATCATGGTATTTTTATCTAAAAAATTCGGATAGAAGTTAAGAATTTGCTTTTTCCTTTCTAGAATATTCGTATACTCGTGTATATACAACACACACTCACGTATAATTGGGGTACTTTTGATTATGGGACATGAAAAGGACTGAAAAGTCCTCGCCCTGCTAATATGTTTAGGCTGTACAAAAAAGTTTAAATGAAATACAGGAAAATAACGTAAGCATTACTAAACAATTTGACATGTTCCCGTCAACTATACCTACACCTCAATTTTACATTTAACCAGAAACGCATAAAACATATGATGAGAAACTTCCTCTCGGATACCCTGGTCATCCCATTGTTTCAGTATGTAGCTCCAGTACTAATAACGTAGCGAAATACCTAGACTTTATTTTGAATCCTTACATGCAAAGTTTGCCTTCCTATATCAAGGATATCATCGACTTTTTAACTAAGGTTCGTAATCTTGAATTAAACAAAGACACCTTTATATTTACCCTTGATGTTTCTTCATTATACACAAATATCCCTCATAATGAAATTGTTGAATCTTGTATAATTATATTTTTTTAAAAGAAAGATAACGGAAATAATAATATCAAAGGTAATGATATAAGGAAATTGTTAAATATTGTTTTACATAATAAATGCTTTGACTTTAATGATCAGAGTTCTTTACAAACCATAGTCACAGCAATGGGAAGCCCTATGGCACCTTTTTATGCTTCATTATTCATGGGTAGTCTAAGAGCAATTTCTTTACACTACTTAATATGTAAAACCTGATGTCTGGTTACGTTTCCTAGATTATATTTTTATGATTTGGAATGATTATTTGGAAACGCTTTAACTTATTTTTAGATTCCTCAAATAGTTTCCACCCGAATATTAAATTCATTTACAGTATTTCTAAGTGCTAAGTATCTTTTTTGATGTTTCTTTAGCTATAAAGACGTAACAGGCATATATTTTGTAAACCTACAAATATGCATTTTGTATTTAGATTTTACATCCTCTCATCCTTTATCATGTAAGCGTGGTAAGCTTAACATTATAGACGTGTCATTTCCGATCAAGGCACTTGCAGTTTGAAAGATATTTTTCTGATAGAAATTATCCTAAATCGATTATTGAAAAAGCATTTTCTAAAATTCATTATTTAGTATTGTTTTGATTTTTTTTATGTGTTACATAAATATTGATCTATTTGTCTATATCTTCTTTTTATTAACACTTTCTAATAGACATCTGTTTCACTATTGATTCATTTTATTTCATGTACCAGCTTTATTTATAACATAAATAATTATTTGTTTCTACATGTTATTATAGTTTTGCCGATTAAACGTTTTACGCGTGTTCCGTTATGACGTCGCTTCCGGTAATTTTGTTATGTTTTGTCCATGTACAGACTCAATCAAACTGAGCCTGCAACATTCATTTCAATTTTGTCTTGTTGGGCTTTCTTTAGGGATTTTCTATTTCTCTCTATTTGCACTGATGAAGGCATATAGCCGAAACGAATGCAATGATTAATAACTGAATGTTCGTGTTTGTGTGGCTTCTCTGTTTATTCAGGTTGTATAGTCATCCCTAATAAATTAGTAATAATCACATACCCCGAGTTAGGATATATTCGCTGAAAACAAAACCACCACATTCTAACACGGCTAATATCGGTGGGTATCAAAGAAATAAGACATAATTTTGCTTATTTTGGAACGATCCAAAATTTGTTTGTGATATAATGGGCTTCAACATCACACACGTGCATTGTGTCCTTTCTGAAGTACTCACTGACTCATTATGTGCATAATATAATGCAAAGAGCCTTTCGCAGCATTTACCCGGTATAGGGGTTTGGACTCGTGGGTGCCTCGAACAGATTTATCTCTCGACGACGCATTTACCGTGTATTTAGTCATAGGAACTCTGCAGCAGGACCGCATATTGCGGCGCATAAATCCGAACCCGTGCCGACTTTACATATGGTTTGTCCGACTTTTGAATATCTTTTCATATTATCTGAGTGGGTGGTCTTTAATAATATAGTCTTAATTTAAAGAAATCTGCTAGTTTAAAAATCAGTCAAATTTACGGTATATAGAAAAAGAAAAGGAGTGACATCCGCCATTTACCGCAACGTTCGGCGTAAGTTACCCCCCTTGATATGCTTAATTTTTGTTTTATTTTTTCTAATATTCCGTATAACTCACTGACATCAGATGGAAAACTTGGACCTTTTCTAGTATTTAATATCAGTCCACGTGCCTTTTTAAAATAGTTATCTATGGATCATGTTTTAGTATTTCTTTTTAGTTTAGTTTAATCATATTTTATTGCTTTTACATTTAATACAAACACAGATACATTGTCACATGTAAACATACTACAAAACAGTAACGAATACATTTACAGTTATTATACATGGATGTTATAGTTATTATAAAAAAGCAAAAGGGTCGGGCCACAAGTTTTAACAACATTAGAGAATTGGCCCTTCCCACATCGTCTCACTTGTAGTAAAAAGATGTGCATAAATTCTGTTGTAATTGGAATTCCATAAATGTATATATCAGCAATCAATATGATATCTTTTGAGAAAATAGAATTTGATCATAAAAATTGTTCAAAGACTAACACAACTTGAATTTAAAAAAAATAATAAAGAAAAGGAAAAAAAGAAAGGAAGAAAGAAAGAAAGATCTATTGATTGATTGATTGATTGAATGAATGAAAGAATAAGCACCATGTAGAAGATTCCTGCCCAGTTCCTGTCCTCAGCATTTATATATAGGTTATGGACAACAATTTAAAAGCGTTGTTTGAAAATTAGTCATTTTCAAATCTCCTTGAATATTTGATGAAATTTTGAACGTGAAGGAATAGCTTATTATTGTCTTCATCACTAAGGTTAGTGATACCGAAAAGCAATTTATGGGCACTAAGAGGGTGATAATCACGAGTATTGATAAATAACGTTAGTCTTTGGTTTATATACAATGGGCACTTGAAAAAGTAATGGTCTGCGTCTTCAGAATAAAAACCGCATTCACAATTTGAATTGTCACGTAAGTGAGTGTAGTGCAAATCAGCATTTAAATTGCTACACTTATTTCTTATACGTGTGTGGTGAATTTGTAAAAATCTGTCACCAGTAAGGAAATATATCGGAACTTGAGGCGGCGTAAAGATTTTTTAAATTTTGGTTTTGAAAGATGAAAGTGTAGGAAACGTTCGCGTTTCAAGATCTAAACTGTTCCATAATTTAATGGAAGATGGTATCACTGATTTTGAATAAATTTCTAGACGTCGGGTAACAGTTGCGTAGTTTTCGTTGTTTCTTAAATTATATGTACTAGTATTACGAACTAATTCTGGAAAAATATCACATAAATAACAGGGAAGCTCGCCTTGGTTATGTTTAAAAACTAGAATTAATTTTTGCATTTTCCTTCTGTCTGCAAGTGATACCCAACCGATTTCACGAAGAAGGTTGGCAATAGATACTGACCTCGTTAGACCAGTTACAATTCGAGCAGCATCGTATTGAATGCTTTCAAGTGAATTTTGTTCATACACAGTACAACTGTCCCACACTATAGATGCATATTCAATAATCGGTCTTAAATAGGCTATATAGATTTGATTAAGTGTTTTTCTTTTTAATTTAAACTTTAGCATTCGCATTGAACCAAGAATTTTAGAGGCAGAATTAGTTATATTCGAAATATGTTGATGCCATGTACCATCATCACTTAATGTAACACCTAAATGTTTGTGAGAATGAACAAAATTAAGATGATTATTTTGGAAGTAAATATTAGGGGTGTCGCGATTATTTTTGGAAAGTGAAAAATACATAACTTCAGTTTTAGAAGCGTTGAATTGTATTAACCACTGATTTGCCCATGTTGATATAATTTCAAGGTCAGCGTTTATAGTACTTTCTATATAAGTGTTATCTTGCGAACTTATTGCTAATGAGCTATCGTCTGCAAATAATCTCGTGACACTTGTAAGAGCGTCAGCTATATCATTCACATAAATAAGGAATAAAAGAGGCCCTAAAACTGAGCCTTGAGGCACACCAGCTGTTAAAAATTTCTCATGAGAGTATGTAGTGCCTACAAAACTTTTTTGTTTTCTATTTTCTAAATAATTTGAGAACCAATTTAATAAATTACCGGTAAATCCGTATTGTTTCAGTTTGAAAATGAGACCCTTATGCCATACTCTATCAAAGGCTTTACTTATGTCACAAAAAACAAAACATGCAGCTTTTCCTTCATCGAAAGCTTTACATATCTGATTATAAATGTCTATTAATTGGTACACGGTTGAGTGTCCTGGAAGAAGAAGGAAGCCTGCCTGATTTCTGTATATTAACTTATTTTCATGTAGAAAGTTGTATGAATACTTAAAAATAATACGTTCCATATTTTTGTGCCCCCACGTTAGTGGCGGGCATTTAGATTTACCCTTGTCCG